CACACGGATCGTTGACGTGGCGCACCCAACTAACACACTAACTAACACACTCAATCCTTACCTACAAGCACACGGATTGCTGACGTGGCACTGTAAACTAACACATCCACTCTGTACCTACCAAGTACGCGGATCGCTGACGTGGCAGCTATGACTAGTGCACACTAAAGTATCTACATCAATATTCATAGTAACCTCTACTTTAGTTCTAACTAACTAAAGATGGTTACAGATAGTTTGTTACCAAGTATTTTGTTCTTGACTTGTGAATAGAGACAATATTCCGTAAATAACAAGTTGAAGGAAAATCATACATAACAGCATTTTCTAACGTTTTAGTGAATATTGGTCCAATAACATTTCCTTACCATTTCAAAAGTTCAATAGAGAAATCATTCAAATACTCCAATTTATCATTAGCTAATTTTTTGACTTGAGTCATCAACTCTGATTCAGAAAATAATGCATATTACTTCACAACAAGACATTGATGCAATGTCGGGAAAGAAATAAAGCTTTTCAGTAAAGGAAATCAAACTCTTCGAATAGTAGGTTTAGTAGACTATACAGCTAACCGTCTTCAAAAGATTTGGTAATCTTCATCACTTCCTTTGTCAAGTATACTTGTTTCGTCCTAAAAAAAGCTCATTTCTTAGACTTCACCAAGTCTTTGTAAAGCCTTGTCAAGATAAACCGAATTTGGAGATCCAAAGACTTGTCAACTGATCACATCGTCGCTTGTTTGCAATCAAACTCAAACAATCCATTGCAAGGAAAATTCCTAGCTTTTCGATTCTTGTGCCGCAAAAAGAACTTAGAAGCAGTGTCTTTGAGTAGTTAGTTATCCACTCGATGTATGTGGATCAAAGCTCCATGAAGTGTGGGTCAATAGGTTTTGAAAATGCAGCATATATTGCTCTTTCTTACTAATATCTATACAAATCTTGGGAGAAGCTAAAACAAAATGGCATGGAGAGAGAGGCATTGTTTTTGGTAACAAGAGAGTAAATAAGAGAGGTGCATGATCTGATTCTGGCTGAAATTCTAGAATATCAAATTTTGAAATAAGAGAACTATTAGTGACTTAGGATAGAAGACAATCAATAGTGCTAATAACTACAGGAGAAAAACACATATTGGAAAGGGAATTGCAAAAAAGAGATATACCGTTGAGAACTTTCAAAGTACATATGGCTCCAAAGGTTAAAAAGTATTTTGTCAAAGAATTTGTTCGAGTATCAGAAGTGCTTTTAGACAACATACTATCTTTAAGTTCTTCAAAGAAGTTAGAAGTCAAGAGATCACCAACTTGGATAAATTGTGCACAATCTATTAGAGTATTGAAATTTCCAACAATAAAAACTTCATCCTTGCTCCGATAATTGAGAACATTTCTTATAAGTCGATGGAATGCTTAACTCCGATTGCAAGTGCGTGTGAAGTAAATAGACATGGACCACGGTGCAAAGTAACAAACATCTAAATAACTATAAGATACTCCAGTCAATCTAAGACAAATTCAATGATATTGAACTTCAATATCTTGAGCCTCTAGATGTATCAGAGGTAGAAGTTGAAATCTGATGAAAGTAGCAATACCGCCATAGCATCTTTCTTCTCGTTGACTTCTATGATTTCAAGTGAATCCCACCAAAGTAAACAATGGTATCTCTCCAATAGTTTTGCTCTCTTGTTCCCACGTCTCCACAATGTTGATGATGTCCGCCATCTTCCAAATCAGATCAACACTCAAATATTTTGTTTTAGGAAGATTTCTAATATTCTACATTAACACACTCATACTCTTGGATTGTTAGGTTGATGATTGTCTTTTACGTTGAGCGACAATTGCTTGTCCATCACAAAGATAAGCAAAGAATCCTGCATCTTGAACTTCTTTGATTTTTGAAAGCTACTCTCTTCTTGACTCTACTTGTAGAGATGTGAGATTAGGATCTAATCAAATCCTACGTCACTTGAGAATAGCCTTGTTAGCTAAAGCCGTATCACGTTGAATATGATCATTAAACTTAACTATGATGGATCAAAGTTGGGTTCATATGGTTCCAATGCCACATCCAGATTAGGAACATCAAGTGTTTCAGCCAAAAACTTGGTGACAACACTCTTCATCTCTTTCTTTCCGGATTTAGGTACAGTAGAACCTCTATAATCTTATCAAGCTGGGACCGGCCCTTTTTGATAAGTTTATAGAGGTGATAAGTTTCTAGAGTTTATTAAAATTGATTCATTTAATTTTGCTTGATTGGTCTCATAACCATCCGGAAGGTTGCAGAAAGGTATGGAAGGTTAGGAATGTTACGGCAAGGAATGCAGGATCTCGAAAAGACATAGAAGTTGTTTGATACCCAAGTTCCGTGTGTATTGGCTGTGGTATTGTAATGGGGTGTGTAGGGCACTGTATCCTGGCGTACTGTATACAGTTGGACTGTGTAGAAGAAAACTTCTCAAAATGTAAACAACTTAACCCAGGAAAATCCCTAACCCACATCAGATACTTAAGCAGCCAACAAACAAATGTGAACAAAAGCTTAGGCAGACAACCATTACAAGTTTCGTTAGTCGATCATAGTCGTACAAATGTAGCTCGGAAAGCACATCAACCTGAATATAAGTTTATAAAAAATTCGGGGCAGCCAAAACTTGATAAGTTATAAGATTATAAATTTTTGGCCTGGTCCTATGCCGGGACCGCACAATTTGATAAATTTTTGGAGGTTATAAATTTATGGAGTATACATTTATAGAGGTTCTACTGTAGATCAAAAATTCTCACATTCTTTCTTTGAGCAAATTGATTAAACTTTTCAATCTCTTGCTCTTGATAGAAAGAGACATGAGCAGATTTGGTGGCTTTTGCATAAGATTTCATCTTCATCTCTAGATTTTCAACCACTTCATGCAATCTAGGAGTAGCAACAGTTGAAGTTTGAGAACCAACTTTCTACTAAATGTACTCTACGTGTTTCGAAATATCAACCATGATCTTTTCAAAAAATTTCTAAGAGAGCTTCAACTCTTGAATTTCATATTGACCAACAAATAAGTAGAACTCTAAACCTTGAGTTTTTCACAGAATACTTTCAACTCTTCCAAACCCGTTTGCAGAAGATAGATTATCAAATTGTCTTGAGAAGACATCATGTGAATGCCTTTCAAAAACTTGAGACTCAAATATATCTCAACTTTGTACTTCAAATTGCGTTCCGTCTCAAAATTGTAAGCTTGTGCTTCTTGCCCAATTCCAAGCTCTCACAAAGTTTCAGGTCCAAAGTACACTCAGGTCCAAAGTTACGGTTCCTGCAAGATTAGGCCATCCCTCTAAAAAAAGTCAAACCTTCAAGACGTTTCAACTACGTGCTCCAAATTGAGTTCAATCTGAGATTTTGCACGCTTGTGCGTCTTGCTAATTCCAAACTCGCACAAAGTTTCAGGTCCAATGCACATCCAAGCTCAAATAAACAGCTCTAGTAAAAATTGACTCTCTTGTCTTTAAATCTTGAATCTCAAAGCTCAAAATTTAAATTAAACTCACTCTGTCTTTGAAACTCCGTTTTATGTGAAAATTTGCAGGCTTGTGTATCCTGTTCAACTCCAATCTCCTACAAAGTTCAAGTCTAGTGCACATCCAAGCTTAAAGAAACAACTTACGTAAAAATTGATTCTCTTAAGCTCAAATCTTAAAACTCCAAGCTCAAAATTTAAAATTGGATATACTTTGAGAAATGCTTTGTAATGAAAAACCTTGAAATAGTAAAATTTTATATTTATATTTTTTCTCAACCAAGATCAAGCCTAGACACTTTAAATTATCAGAAGTACAACCTCGACTCTATTTTGCCAATCACCAAGAGACATATCTTGAGTTCAAGGAGAAATGTTTTTGAAGAAGAAATATCTTGGCACAAAAACAGCAAGACATAGGTCTAGAAAATCATGACAATTTGAGCTGGTTTAGTTATTTTTCTTACAACAGGAGAATTGTCACCACCGAGGTTGAATCAGCATTTCGTTTCGGTGATTTGAAGTTTATAATCATCTGAAAAGTATACATTTTATTGGTTTCACCAGCTTTTCAAAAGAAGTTTCAATTCTTAATTTAAAATACTAATTACTTCTTATAACTCTTCATATAGAAGAATATTTCATCCAAGTCTTGATACCATAACTCTCATCTTTGAAATGTGCTTTTTCATGAAGAGATTTGACTTATGTGCAATCTATTCATGAAACTTAGTGATTTGTATTCAAAATCACAAAAATAATCTTACTTGATTAGAATGATGAAAATATGACCTTTATACATGGAGTTTTATTAAACATAAAGATTCTTAATTATTTTAATTTCTTTTCTATGAAATTTGAATTTTTAAATGAAAATGAATGTTATAGCTTTACAACTTCATGACATTATAACATGATTTTTTTTCTCAATATAATATACTCACGACATAAAATATTCTGTAAATTTTTGGTTAATTTTCTAACTTTTTTCTAACCTGCAATTTATTTTAAAATTTTTCCAAGAACAATTTTTTTTGAAAATGAAGTTCTCCTGGTATGTACTTTTCTTTATAAATTAAAAATTAGAAAAATTATTTCTTAAATGTTATAAATAAAACAAGAAACATATAATCTTCATTTGAAATTTTATGAAACAAAATAAAGATTGTATGCCTTATCAAATTCTCATCAAATATATATGAAGCGAAACAAATGGACCGTCGGGCGTTAATAAACGAGCATGTAGACCACTGAAGCCAGTATATCCAAGGCGGCTGGACTTCCCACACCCATATGAGCTTCGTAATTCCGCTTTTGTGATCCAGGTGTGAGTACAGAAGTAGAAGAGTGAATGTGGTGAGTGAATGTGGTCATAAGCCCAATAACTCCTGATTACTGGCAAGATTTTGAGAATATAACATATGTGAAAGGAGGCGAGCCAGATGGTCAAGAATTAAAATTTTCCTTTTGAAGGTGATGTCGAAACTCAGAAGGAATTTATGTGAAAAAGTTTAATACACGTAATTACAAGACAAGGCAAAGACGAAGCAGAGGCTAAAACGACGTTTTCTGATCGCGAAGGGAACTGATTCCTAATCTTGCAGTTGCCTCAGAAGAACGAAGATATCTACCCAGAGCCATCATAGGAAAGTAATGTCGATACAAGTGATAATTGACGTATGTGTGTTTGGGGAACCCCGTTCCAGTAAAATGCCTCTCATTCCACGTGCCTCCAGTGGTGGTGTTTGTAGGAATTGGCAGTCCACCCTCGTAAGATTCCGCTGGTTCTTCAGAAGGGTGAACAATATTTCGAAGCAGCCATTGAATTCCTGATTGGATCGACATGTCTTCTGGGGGAAGGTACGCGAGAAGTCCCATAAGCGACCATGCAGTTTGAGAAGGAGTGGACTCGATGCCCTTTCCCATTTGGCTTTTGTCCTTGTAGGTGTTTACCCCTTCTCCCCATCCTCCATCCTTATTTTGACACCATTTTAGCCACTCGATGGCTCGTGAAACCATGGGATCTGACATGGGAACACCGACAGCGGCGAGCCCACAGAGGCTGCCGCAAGTGCCGAATATGTAGTTGACAGCCCAGCGTCCGTACCAGGATCCTTGAAGCTCCTGAGAGTCGCGCAAATATTGGATCCCCAATCGTGTGCCAGTTTCTGCCTCCGATCTTAAACGGCGATGGATCTCCGTGTGCTTGTACTGCTCCGAAAGCTCCAGATATAAACCCACTGCTTCCAACACATGACCCGCGACGTCAGGAGTGCTGGGATCACACAGTGCACCCATATCCGAGGCAGGATGGTCGTTCAGGAAAAGTTTATCATTGTCGACGTCATACGCTGCCCAGCCGCCATCTTTGTTCTGCATTCCCAGAAGCCATCTCAGAGCTCGATGGATGTTGTGACTCTGAACTGCATCCGGACTCTGCTTGAGCAACGAGATCACAACCGTGGCTGTGTCGTCGACATCGGGAAACCAAGAGTTGAAGTACTGGAAGGACCAGCCTCCGGACTCGAGCTTCGGTCGGTATATTTTCCAGTCGCCATACTCCACGAGCAATTGCCGATCTAGCATCCATCGTACAGCGCCTTCGATGCGTGCGTCGTTGGGACTCCAGCCACAGTCTAGCAAGGCCGTAACCGAGAAAGCAGTATCCCAGACCGGCCCAACGCTGGCCTGAATTCTGTACTGGCCGTGAGTTTCCCAACTGAACCGCTCGATGGCCTGGACGCACCCCGTTACCTCTTTGGAGCCCAACGAGTATCCTTGCAGCGTCATAGCGATGGGATTGTACAACAAGGGAGGTATAATGCCCGCAGTGTCGCCTTCATTCTCTTGATGTTTTAAGATGTATTCCATACACTTCTTGATCGCATACTTTCGAACCATGCTCGGTTTGTATTCTTCATAAATTCTGACCAGCGGGTCGATCAAGCAGAAGAAGCTCTTCCAGCTTATGCCGTTTTTCATCAGGACCTGCCTTACTGGTGGAAGATAAGGCACATTTCGTTCTGCGTGGGGGAGCCATAGCTCCATGATCAATTTGTGGCAGGCCTCGTTCGGCAATTTGTATACCGGTCGGTGATGACTGATCACTAGCAGAGGGACCATGGTGCATCTAGCCCAGCTGGCGAACCTGTACAGAGCCACGGGTAGCTGCGATGGTAAAAGGATCATCTCGGCTGGCAACGGTGGAACTGCAGTCCAGGGAAGTATTCCGAAGAGAGCCAGGGCTATCTTAGTGAACACACTGACCTGGGACAGGCCACCCTTGGATAGTATAAATGACTTCGCCTTGCTTAGAACGAAGTCGTCGGCATCCAGTCCGAGGATCGTGAGCGCTAGGTAGGCTTCTGTTGTCAAGGAGATGTCTCCCTCGATACCGAATGCCATCGACCAGCTTCCATCTTCTGATTTCTGGTGCTGTATGAGATAATTTATGATTTTTTTTTCCCTCTCTTCTGGGAGATGTAGTCCCAAAATCTGCGCAAGCATTACATACATAGACGTGGCAGATACATTGAACTCGAATTCAGCACACCAGAAAGGCTCTGTTGTTCGTTGAATGGACAGCAAGTGTTCTGCTGCTCGACCCACTGCTGCGCGCACGCTCCTGAGTGAGTCCATTTAAGCTTGCACTTATCTGATCAACATCCATGAGGGACCTCAGTCAGCGTCCTCAAAATATTTCCGAAACGTGAACATGAATGCTGCATACAACGCTACAATTATGACGTTGGAGCAACAGCCAAATATATGAAAATGAGAGAAAAATCTACTATCAAGCTGCAGTTTCTGGCTTCTGCGACTGTAGCTGCGAAGCAAGGCATCTGTCATCATTTGTGAGAGCGTGAGGAACTGCGTGTACTCTTCCGGCGTGTTAAAAAGCTGGGAACATTCTAGACAGAAAACGATTACCAATTCAGTAGATGGAAACCGATGCTAATTGTTTCGACCTCGGGAATTTTGGCACAATTGCAGGCAGTGATACTCCCGCGTTGTCCTGCGGTGGAGGCAATCGGGCCCCGAGGCATACCCGTCTCTTAGAGTCCCAGCTGGGCAGCTCGGAAGACAAGAGTGAATTTAGGAAGGGCAAATCACTTTCATGTTGTTTCGAACCCAGCTCTCTTTGACACGGGGCTTGCAGACAGTGTATAATATGCGTGACTGCAACAAGTCATGCAGTGGATAATTAGTATACGAGCCGGTCTTCTGGGTGGTATGAAGACTGTCATTAGTTTCAATCGGGTGTTGCTATGGCAGTGTGAACTGAAATGAACTGAGAGTTAACAGCGAGACGCTCCGCGCTCGTACCTCAATTAGCATGTGAGTGTAGGGAACCTGAGGGTTCAGCTCCGAGGACTGAAGACGATGGTGGCAGCTGCAGTAACACACGATGCGATGAAGATCCAGCTGGTCGAAGAGTGATCCCTGAGACCTGGGAAAGACTCCCGAACGAACTCGTCGACCTCGAAACGGTGCACGGTGGAGAGTGAACACCAGCTGCTGTCTCCGGATGGAAGTGAGACTGAATCGTTGTACTTATTGAGTCCATCTGTACAGTTCCAGGCGGAGTTACTGTACACCTTTTCTGCTAATGCAGATCTGGTTGCACCGAGCCAAATAAGTTAAGAACTCGTATTATTGCTTTGTTACTCCGATGTATTGATGTTCCCACCAATGACTTCCTCCACGTTGTAATTGTTCGTGGGCATGCACCCAGATGAACCACTGCTTCCCGGCCGAGTTCCCTGAGACCTGGGAAAGCCTCCCAAACGAACTCTCGATCACTGTTTCCGTCGACCTGGAAACGGTGCACGTTGAAGAGTGAACACCAGCTGCTGTCTCCCGGTGGACTTGAGACTGAATTGTTGGACGCATTGAGTCCATTTGTACCGTTCCAGAGGAGTGATCGTACACCTTATCTGCATGCATATCTGGTTGCACTGAGCTAAATAAGTTCATGAATCGTAGTAAAATGTTGTTATTACTGTTATTATGTACAGATGTTCCCACCAATGACTTGTTGCAAATATTCGTGGGCAGTCACGCAGTTGGCATTTCCGGGCCGACTTCCTCATAAAATGCCTAATGATTTCCTGAAAACCCCGAAAAGCCCAACCATTTCCTACGTAACAAAGAGTAAAAGGGGTTCTATTATGTTAGAATAGTGTAACCCTGCCTCGATTATTGTTGTAAAATGTCATATAACTGGTCAGAACAACATAAGAGGGCGAAAAGCCCAACCATTTCCTACTTAGCAAAGAGTAAAATAGTAAAATGGACTCCATCATCTTAGAATAATGTAACACTGCCTCGATTATTATTATAAAATGTCAAAGAACTGGTCAGAACAACATAAGAGGACAAAAGAACAGCGTTCTTCACTACGCCATGTCATTGAGCTGCAGTGGTGCTTTTCACGTAAGGCCTGCGCTTTTCATGGAGTTCTGTCCTTGTCATCATGTTCCTCACCACCTAGACCTAGAGATTTCTTAGCTGAGCAGATGGAATCATGTGTGTCTCTTCGTCAGGTATTTTGCAAGAAGGTTACTTCCACCTGCAATAATGATTGTTTTTATTCGTGGGCGGCGCTAAACGAGAAAGGCTGAACAGCTGAAGACCTCCTGCACACTATAAACACGCAAACTTTGTATTTTAACAAGATTCCACGCATAACTCATGTTAATTGCACAGGATGTCTCGATTAAGATATGAAGAAAAATATATGTAGGGTCGTCGGCATGCAAACTTTGTATGCATGCCCACGACCCCACGATCTTGTTTGTTGAAGCGATGACAACTTAAAGTTGTTGCTGCTCGTGCCAATGACGTTCTTGAGCAGAGACGGATCCACTTGAAGTGTGTTTCCTCTTGTTTCGCTCGACCACATGGCTGTTGAGAAAGTGTCTTCCGTTCTCGTAACATTTCGCTATCCTATATGTTTGTTACTTCTTCATTGAATCAAATGCAAACATTCTTGAATCTTTGACATTTTGCAGAAGGAGTTACGTGGAAGCTTTCGCAATTTCTCGAAACCTCTTACACAAAGTCAGGTCGAAAAATTGCCATAACATTCTCTGAACCTGCTTTAGCAGTCTTTGACAGTTAAAATGATTTTTGCCTAAAGGTCTAATATACAATTCTTTAAGTATGAGTAAAAATATATTATAAAATTCACGTGATCTAGATTCCTGCTTGCTGCTCTCCACATTTAGTTAGAGAATGTTATCCACTTTGAGAGGAAGACTTTGTACAGTGGGTAAGCGTGAATTTGTAGATTTGGGAAGAAGTCATTGCATCTTTTTTTGTCAGTCTGATTTCAAGGTTTCGTATTTTCAAACCAAAACACAATTGAACATAGATATTGTTCATTCTTTACAATTCATTAGAAACAAATATAATAAGTGGAAGTTGTTTGCTAAATTGCATAATTCATGAACAGAGATGCGTATTGAATGTGATTCAAACTATGAGAGCTTAAGAGCGAATTAATAAAGACCTGTATCTGATGGGATGAGTTTAAACAAATAATCGATAAAGCCAATAGAAATATTAGGGACGATGTAAAGAGTTTAGAGATGATTTGTTCGGTGAAAATTGAATTTACAAATTCGATATTACAATCATGTTGAATATTAACTAGTGCATAAATCTAGACAATTTGTAGCTCACAAGAGATGTAAAATTTAGTTTTATAATCAATTTATACATTACTTTAGTTATGATAGTAGTATACATGTGGTTTCAGATTTCTGATTAAAAGACTTAAATTGAGAGTTTTTAACTCAAATTACTCTTATCAAAAATGTGAAATAGTGTGGGTATCTTTCTCAGATGTTCTATCTCCGTTCTCGTTTCACTTGAGAGATCGTGAGTGGCTCCTCTTGTGAAAGGCCTGGTTTGCCATCCTCAAAGGTCGAATACGATCCAACTTGTCTCCCTCATGATTCATGAGGGAGACAAGTTCATTCATTATCATTCATGAGTCATGAATGATAACTTGGGCTAAGCTCCAACGGACTCCAATTATCACCTCGTATAATTGACGTCCTTCCCTTTTTCCAAACTTCCGGGACAACGATTTGATCTTGAGTCGTCAGACAAGCAAGCAGCGGACTCTTTTGGCACCTCTACCATTTTCGAAACTAGTGAGTTTTCATCAATTACAGACGGGCTTTTGCTTTTTGAGCTGTACTGTACCCGCATTGCGCCAAAATACGTACCGATATATTTAGACAGTAACCATGTCGTGTAGTATCGAGATATTTAAATTTGTCAAACAAGATAAAGCGGATGGGCTTCTTTTCACCCGCTGCTATTGGCAGATCAACACGTATTAACTTTCCGACTCTATCGACAGACGCGAAAGACCGAGACACCAGATGTTTTCCTGATCTCCATGAGTTTGAATGTAGCCGTGTTTAGAGTGACTGATACCTTGAATTCGCTTCCTTTCACGTTACTCTTTCGCCCTCTTTCGTGATCCTGACGCGCTTTCACCCCCAACTGAAGCTTTCCTGCAAACACAATAATCAGAACCTGTGCGGCCAGCACGTGTGCATGTTCACCAGTTCGTCCCAGTCCGATCAGTGTGCCATGTGAACGTATGATTCATCATGTATATTAGGCCGTTGCCACATGACCGGCAGCGGGCAGTAATACTGCAGGCTAGAACAACCCTGACCGTATGTCTTTGGGCTGACCGCATACGGTCTCTCCTTTGTCACCGGCAGCTGGCAGTAATACTGCAGGCTAGAACAACCCCGACCGTATGTCTGTGGGCTGACCGCATACGGTCTCTCCTTCCTTTGTAGCCGTCGCGTGAAGAATTAACCCGTCTAGCGCACACCCCTCTAATATTCAAATTCGAGATACGTGGCGGCCTCAATACTTTGACTTGGTCGCTTATCTTTGTGCCTTATTCTCTAAGTCTATGGAATTTTTGGTATTCTGGATGAGGAAACACGCAACACTTGCTCCCTACGTCTGGATACCGTTCAGCACGCTCATGTAATTGCAAGCATTTATAATTTCGAGTGTCGGTTGCAACCAGTGAAAGGAAAATTAGAGGGAGAATGTGCAAGCCCCGGACTTGGAGCTTCGGCATCTCGTGTACAACCTCGAATGAAACCTTCATAAATTGAGGCTTTATGAGCTGAAATCCTAGCTATGGGAAGCACCGCATGTTAAAGACACATGAGACATTTCGATGGCACAGAAGTGTCCTAAGGTTTTGAACAAATCAATTACGTGAGATCCTGGTTTGTTTCAAATGGCGAAGTCTGATCGAATGTGGATATATCGAGGATTTGGATCAGGCTTGGCAAGGATACTCCCTTTTTACTAAAGTTTCTTTCTAGATCTTTCTTTGGATTCGGACTGCAAGCTCCCCTCCATGCCGTCTTGTTAATTGAGAATTCACTCGAGTTGTCTTGAGCTATATTTGTAGTGACTCCTCTTAACCCTCCAGGAGGATTGAACCATGTATGAAACGTAATTTGATTATCTTTGAGTCAAAGGCTTAGTGTGCTAAATACAGAGATTGAATCCATTGCAGTGACAAAGACCATGTGGATGCAATTGATTTGCATTACGAAACTTAGTGTGTACGCTTAAAATCTCAAGTTTCACAATTTCAAGAGATTGCTCTAACTTCATGGAGCATGAGATGCAAAGCTCATATCAAATTCTGCAGTGGTTTTTGAGCATTTTGTACCTCAGATTTAAGCAATAGGCCATGTCCAATTGACAATTTTCCGAGACAATGATCTGGAGGAAGAGTTTTGTGGATCTGGACGAGGAGCATTTGAAAGTATCGGAACTAGAATCGCCGCATATTGAAAGTGAGCCAAAAACGAGCATGCTAGGTTAAGTTCTGGGAAGAATACGGAGAGCAAGGCTGACATTGAGGTTTTAATAGCACTAGGAGAGGAAGTAAACTAAGGAAACTAAACTTGTCCCTTCTCTCAAACCTGCGACTAAAGGAAAAATCTTGCCCCTTACAAACGCAAATGCCCCTGGCAATCGCACCGCATAAACTTGAATGCACAAAATCATTTGCCAAATCGACAACTCTGACCTCCACTGATTTGTCATCGCCAATCCAAAAGTGCGTCACAAGAAATGTTAGACGCAAAGGTCGCCGGGCCTCTTTTGAGCGCGAAACGCAAAACTCTTGGATGACGGAAACTGTGAAACCCACTGGAAGACGGTGACGGCGACACACGAATGATGTACGTATACCGTCATCTTTGTCATGTGAATACGTATCGACATACACTCTACATTGTTGACATGCTACTCACATTCACACACACATATACACATATATGAAAAGAGAGCGTACACACAAATGTACCGCAACTGAAAATACGTGTTTTTCCCCTTCAAATACATGTCGGTCTTGATTACCCCACTGGCAACAAAACCGTCACATACATAAGTCGAGTCCAACTCACTCCAAAGAGACTCCAGGTCGACGCTTACGGACAATCGCTCTACTCCCAACGCTATAGGCTCGACTCGAAAAACTAACGTTCTTTGAGTCGTCAACGACTCTATAGTCTCTCGCGAGCGATAACCCTAAGCTTGAAATCTAAATATAGTAAGAGACAAAACTACATGACATTTGTCAAATCTATCAGGATTAATTTAAGTGAAAGTAAAGTAGATAGTAGTTATCATGAGTTTTCATGATAATTTCTTAAGTAGATAAATAGAAAAGTAGAGTTTGGAAAATTTAAGTTTAAGACTTTTTACATGGAGTGTGTTGTCTTGGAAGAATAGTGTGAGTAAGAAAGACTTTCATTTGACAATGATCATTCAACAATTGTAGA